TCAGCAGTCACATTTAAAAAATCGCAACTTTTCAGCTAAATTTAGTGTCGACTACAAATTATCGCAGTCTGGAGGAAACAGTTGAATCCTACGACCTTGAAAATATAATTGAAATCGCATAAAACCCCGTTTTTTTAAGTGAAAAATCTAATCCTGAAATGACGGTTTTGCACTTTTTAGCCTGGCGAAAAGTTCATAACAACCGATAGCCTAAAAATTCGATAGTTTCAAACCATTGTCAGGCTAGATCGGTGTAGCCGATAACAGCTTCTATCTTTGTCAAAACTGCCGAAAATAACGGTAAGTAAAGAACTTACCGCAAAACTCAAACAAAAGCTTACCTTAAAGAGTCATGGCCTGGCATAATAACGACAGTCCGCAGACTGGGCATGTTCTTGCTCTGGATCTTCCCTGGATCGCTGTTCAGAATATCCGGCGAAATATCCGCCAAATGATGGTAATAATCCTGTTTCCTGTACTGAGCTGGACACACGATCCCCTTAAGCCCCACTGAATTTATGCAGTTGCGAACCTCCTCAGCCACGTAGGATGGGTTCAAGTTAACCTAAGCCCAGGGCGGAGTTCAATGAAAACTGGGCGTTTTTCCTTCCCGGGTAAGGCTTACCAGGATGTATCCTCCTCGGGCGCAAGCCATATGAGTGACATACCATTCGACCAAATTGGGCGCCCAGAGCCCGATGCGATCGCCCGGATCGAGCCCAATGCGCCTAAATCCAGCGGCCACCCGATCCGCCTGATCCAGCACCTGTTGAAATGTTAAAGTAACCTTTTGGGATCTGGAGACGATTGCTGGGCGATCGCCGTGCCTTTGGGCGGTGTTTTCCAAGATTTTTCCCAGAGTGAGGGCGCGCAATGGTTCGCTTACTGCATTGTGCATGTAGCTGGGCGTGCTGTAGCTCCTGCAACTTAGGTCAAAATCACCGACAAATTGCTTAAAGCTTGCTCAATTTACTTTCGAAATAACGCCAAACACTTGAAGCATAGCTGGCGCTCCCGAATTGTCCACATTTTCGATTCGTGGCTTCTATTCGACTATTCTTTGGATATCAGCTCGGTTATCATGGACTTACAATCATTAACAAATTGATAATGTTGACTGTGCCGCAAGAGATTGAATGCTTTGAGGAATGTTTTCGACCTCCTCACTAGGCACTCATTGATTTATTTTCCAAACAAATACTTAATGTACACGGTGCCCCAAAAATTGCGTTTCATTGATTTCATTGATTTCACTTATTTTTATTTATTTCGCTGGAGAAAACAGTTTGTGACAAAAAACGTTCTAAATTGAACGAGCGTTCAGCGCTGTTCCACATGTTGCGGCTTAGAGTACAGTCCTTTGGGCATTTATATTCGGACAGTCTGTATATTATTGAAACACGAAAGGCAAATATGGTTATTTAAACATCAGCCTGTGCAAACTGTCTGTTAATTGCACATTAATGTGCTGTAGCCGAATAATGTGTTTAATCATGTTAATCGTGCCTATTCATTTTGTCTCAGATAAGAAAAACTATCTTTCTTGATAAGCAAATTACAACAGTTTTTAACTTTGACCTGGTAGTGGCAAACTAATAAATTGATAGGAAAGGGAGCATAAAAATGCGATAATTAACTGATATAAAATGCGATTTTTACGGAAAAGCACCATAGTCAAAGAGTTGAGTATAAAAAATGGTGTGCGTCACGGGACGCTCGACAGAAGTGATAACTTCATAAATTAATAGAAACTATAAAATATTGAACTTGTTTAACGCATGATGGCA